TCTAGTGTAGTTCATACGGGTCACGTATGCAAGACTGCTTAAATAAACAATCAAAAGTTGTATATATAGCTAGTTGTACTCTCATTAATGTAACAAAGTCAGAGGTAGCCCATGTGGTTGCTCTGACATTCGAATCAAAGTTCAATAAAATGTGCCAGACCTCAAAGTGGTCACCTTAATATTAAAAAAAAAAAAAAAAAAAAAATTCATATACAAGAGAAAATTTTTCTGGTTTTGTTATATCAGAATTTGCAAAAGCTTTAAATTCTTCAAAGAAGTCTGGATAGTTTAGCTCTTCTAACAATCCAAATGTTGCTGTATATCTATTATATAAGTCTAATTTTAAACTTTCAATATATAAACTCTCTGTTATAGATTGTTCTTTTGAAGAGCTCTAGGAAAAAAATACCTTTAAGAATGCATGAGCAAATTCAAACCCATTTTCTCCACCTAATCGACAGATATATAATGGTAAGTAAAACCAAGTTTCCATGCATTTTCTACAACATCATATAATAATTTGCAAAAATTTTCAAAATCAGCTGTATTTAATTCATGCTTAGCATCAGCCAATTCTTCACTAAATAATTCATATATATTATCCATGCAGTCTTGAAGGTCTTTAATCCAGATTGCTATTTTATCTGACATTTCGTGAGCACGATTTCCTGGTGGAAGTATTACCTTTTGATTTTTATTATAAATTTATAAAATTGGATCATAACTGGTTATAAACTTATAAATAGGTTCATAAAATTCTTGCTTAAATTTAACAAAACACCGTAGTTGAAGATTAATTTGTTTATCAATAAGCCACTCAAGAAAGATTATCCATTTATGCAAATATGTTTTAGATACATTTTTTGCATTTTCAAGTTGTTTAATGAAAAACTGGGCAAAAGAAATATGAACATCCCATCTAACAAGATATTGTCTAGCTGTTTAAGTTTATACAACCACTGTTGTTGATATTTATTTATTTCAAAATCAAATAAAATCTTATAAAGTTTTCATAATATTTCAGACTTTAAATTTAATGGGCTGTCCTTGTCTGAAATATCATAGCCATCATGAAGATGAAAGGCAAAGTTAAGCAAGTTATACATATATTTTTTTAATGACAACTCTTTAACACCATCTAATTTTTCAAATGCTGCATTTTCAAAATTCATTAAGGTGATTTGGACTGCATATAATCCACAAGGAATCCAAAATGATTTAGATACTACTAATAAATTAAATTCAGCAGTTGCACTACGAGCCTTTGAAAATATATAAGCAATATTGTCTGTTAGCCAAAAGTAATATTTTTTAGGATCAATTCCATTATGCTGGCACATTTCAAATATAGTAGCTGAAACGGTTCTAGCATTACAATGTATTAGGTTTGTTAATTTTGCAACTGTAATTACGGGCTCTTCTTTAATATTATTCCAATGAGAAAAATATATAATTAACACTTTTTTTTCACTTTGTGTACTTTCATTAATCATAACACTATATCTGAAAAACTAAAATGAATTTTCTTTAGGGCAATTTTAACTAAAAGACAAAGCTGCTACTTCTTTATTCCACCTCG